TGCGCTGCAAATAACTGTACCCAATGCTGTCGGCGGTAATGATATGTTTATTGAGAGTGGTCAATGGAAAAACATATTCAGCCTTTTTAAAAAAGCAATACAATGTGTTGTGAAGCAATAAGGGGTATTAAGTAACGGTGGGAGGGTTGCTCATGTAATATCCGTAACTTCTTGGAGCGTGACTTTGAATCAGTATGTGGTTGTTTCTCTGCGCTAAGCAGTTCATCGTCCTATAATTGCACTTACTCTTTCGTGGTGAGATGTATTGCGTACTGCTGCTTAACTCCATTCTATGTTTCAATCTGAAGTCGTTGCTGCAGACGGCATAATAATTTCAAATATTTTAGTGGTTATCTGTTTAAATCATGGCTTTGGAATCTAAATTTTTTTTTGTTTTTATGCCAAAGAAACCAGTGTTCTATAAATTTTCCCTGCTAATTGCGCAGCTATGCAGAGATTGAGCATAAATTGTTTTTTTTTACTGCTCAATGTTAGCATAATTCGCCCGCTTATGGTATTTTTATCAACAGCCGCTAGGGAACAGATACATCTTATTTGCAAGGTTGAGTAAAAATTTTAAATATTGCAGTAATCAAGTTATCTGAGCAAGTATAAAAATTTGTTTGAGCCTCAGCAAATAGCTGTTAGAATTCAAGCGATTTGCATGCCTGAAACTATACAAAGTTTTAGATATCTTCGAAAAATAAGTCACTTTGAAATCTTAAGGGCTACACATGTAACGCTCTGCTCTTACTTAAGCATTGTACACAGTTGTTAAATGATATGAAACTTGGAATCGTATTTAGGGAATAAATCAAATTAGAAAGATGGATTTACGTGCTTTCACATTCAGACTACAGTTAAGGAACATCCAAGTTCCTAGTGATTTGAGCATAGGAATATTCTCGACTGGACTGATACTGTAGAAATAATAATAATTGTGTAGTAGTCTTGAAAGAATAGTTACACTATGCTGCGTTAATGTTTTGCTCAATGCGCCTGAGCCGAAATGATTTGATGTTTGCTAATGTTGTTCAACCTAAAAACTATCAATGGAGTACGAGCATTAATCCATC